TGATGAATACAGTTACACCAACCTCAACTACACTGAGCTCTGCATTAGGGGAAGACCTATAAAGAGAATCAGACTCCAGGCTATGGTTAAATCAGCCAGGCTCTTGGTTTGTAAGCATAACGATCACACTGTTCATTGGTTATAAATGCACCCTTTAGTTTTTGTATTTTATTCTTAATTCTCAGCTGTCAAACTTGCTGTGCTGCAGCACAACTGGTGTTCTAGGAACGGTTTCTTGACCTGATTTCTCTCCAATATTACGATTGGCTAACACAAATACATTGCATAGAACATTTGTGAAAAATATATGGTGGTGTTGGTGGGAATTTCAAACAACATGAACATCATCATGGAAATCCTAAAGGCCTGTGGTACGTAGCTCACTAATAGAGATTCAGTGACCAGTAAGACCAGTAAGATGCCCTAGCTTTAGGGAAGACTTATTAGAGCAACAAACTCTTTTTCCAGACTAAATGAAGACCATCTAAATTAGTGAGATGCAGTTCCTCTCCAGTGTACAGGTTTTCTGGTGCAAATTAATTAAAATGCTATACAAGTAGAATTGAATTCAAAGTTACTTGACGTGCCATCTTATAATACCAAAGTTTTTCAGGATGAATTCTGCAGAACATGTAAGCATGGAACTTTATGTGGTCATGCCTCATTATGTAAGTTGTAAGCCAACCAGAAAATCTAGTATTAATATAAAGTTTGCAGGTGAAAGACTAGGAATCCAATGGGATTCCTTCATGGCAAAAAGCTGCACATGATAGTTTCCCCTTGGTCAAGTTATGAGAATCGGCCATGTGGGTCTGTAGTTCTTTTATCATGCAATCAGGCAATGCAAACATATAGAATGACCTTAATGAGGCCATTGTGCTACAGGCAGCATGGAGCCTGGAGCATAAGGGGGTGGGGGCAACAGTTACACTGTAATTCGCTCTCAGAAACCAGACATTTCTCTTAACTTGTGAAACACTGCCAGCAGAATCAGTACACATGTTTTTTTTTTCCTTTTTAACCTGTGCCGCTTTTCTCAAAACAGCACAGGGAACACAGAATGAACTACCCAGATCCAAAGAACCTGTCTGATCATGTCCGATCAGTCCAGTCACAACCCCAGTAGTTTCAGCAGTGTCCTGTAAGTCAATTGTAATCTTCCTTGAATGCCTCTATTCAAGCCACCTGCCTTAAGTCCTGTCAGGTGAAAGTGGAGAGAACTGAAAATACAGAGTGCCTCAGGTCAACCCAGAGGAGTCTTTAAAGCAGCTATAAGTGCAGGTTGACACTAAATTCCACAAGAGCTTTCTCCACGTGGCTGGGGAACAGAGGGAGCATTGAGCACAGGAGTGGGAGGAGGGGGAAGAGGAACTGTTGATGTGGATGGTGATGAGTATTACTACCTGGACTTGGGTTTGCCCAGTGCAGTGCTGGCTGTGCCTGATCTATTACAGATCATTTCTCCTGCCCTAAATTATTTTGTCAGTTTAGATAGAAAAAGTTTATCTGATTATTTTTAAAAGAAAAGTTACATGCTCTTATGGTTCTTAAGGCGTTGTTGGCAGCTAAACTACAGATTTCCTTATTCCTCTTATTTCCAAAAGCAAGAAAGCTTCATAGGAAATCCTAAAGTGCTAAAAACCCAGCATTGGAAAAGAATCATTCTACAACAGCATGTTAATGTATTTAATATTTTCATCCAATGTAATGTCTTTTTATTTTTTTAGAAGATATTCACATGTAATTCAATTCAATTTTATTTATACATCACCATACCACAACAACCGTAGTAGAAGATTTATATTTCACACACATTGATTTATATTGCAATGTGTACAATTATGTGAGCGAAAATCACATTTTACATTTCTGAATAAATGCCCGAAAACAGTTATACTCGTGTTAAATTTTGAAGTGTTTACTTGGATTAATTGTGAGCTTTCTGAAAAATCAGTATAAATTGTGGTTGCCTGTCAGTGGTGTTGAACCCCATTTTCCCAGCCGCTAACCAAGCCACTGTCAAAGTTCTTGTCTTAACATCACAATGTCACAGTGTGTGTCCCAGGGTTCTGATGTTCTGGCAGCTGGCTTTTGCCCTCTGATAGGGTCTCCTATGGCAAATTGGTCCTGGGTGAGAGACCAGACAAAGAGCAATTTAGAAGACCCTTATAAGCGTAAGATCAAGGGAACAGGTTGGGGAACAGATCCTAACTGTCATCTGCGCTTATCTGCCAAACGACAGTTCAGAGTACCTGCCTTTTTGGAGTTCCTGGGTGGGTTGCTTGAGTGTGCTCCACCTAAGGATTCTGTTTTCTTACTGGGAGACTTTAATGCTCATGTGGGCAACAACACCGAGACCTGGAGGGGCTTGATTGGAAAGAATGGTCTGCCTGATCAAACCACAGTTTGTCCTTAATGAACACCATGTTCGAACATAAAGGTGTCCATAAGTGCACATGGCACCAGGGTCCCTGGGGTAGATGAGGTTCGCCCTGAGTTCCTTTGTCACCGATTCTGTTCATAATTTTATTGACAGAATAGCCAGACGTAGCCAAGTGATGGAAGGCTTCCACTTGGGTGGTCTCGGAATCGCATCTCTGCTTTTTGTAGATGATGTTATTCTTTCGGATTCATCAGAGCATGTCCCACTGGTAGAAAGCCCCAGGACATGCTGGAGAGATTACATCTCTTGGCTGGCCTGGGAATACCTTGGTGTTCCCTTGGACAAACTAGAGTAGGTGGCTACGGAGACGGAGGTGTGGGCTCCGTCTCGGAAAAGGTGATGGAGCCCATCCATCTATTTTCTTCTCCTTGTCCCGGACAAGGAGAAGAAAATAGATGGATAACATACATTATTAATTGCTTGTAGAACATTCAAGTGTAATCATTGAGCATACATATTTATATTTCAGTCTATTATGTGAAAATCTATCAAATTTAAAGGGACATGGTTGTTCCAAATTAGGTCCTTTTAGACACAATTATACATCCCTGTGAGCATACACAGACACACTGGATTATTTAACAGCTTTTTCCTTTAGATGCATTCCAGTATGGGACAGCTCTTCTCTCTACAAAAAGCCACAAGCCAAAAAGCTTTCATTGTAACGTCTAATGGGAGTTTTGTGGCTGGCTTGTAGTTAGACTGTTGAGAGCAGAGATGAGTCAGCATTTTTTCTGGTCTATTTTGTCTGGCATTTTTTCTTTTATGTAGTTGTGTCCTGTGCCCTGTTTTTGACTAAACTGTTGCTTTGATGCCACTTTATTGCTTGTTTTTCTGATACAATTTCATAATTTCACACAGATGGAAGCTTATTTGTCTGGAAGACAGCTGCATTACTTACCAGACACCAAATATAAGCTATTGTCTTATAAATACCTTACTTTATTTGATAGTTTTCATCCAACCATTGTCATTTCGGATCCTGTTCCCTCCCAACTAAAATCTTGTCTTTAGATCCTTATTATCTGGCCCTAGCAGATCACAAGCTAGGGTACTCCGAGTGACAATTCCAAACTTGGATAAATGGGTCAGGTGAGGATATCTGGTGTAAAATCTTTTGACATACGTAGTATTTAATGAAGTATATGAAGTATTTAATTGAAATTTTAAAAAGTTATTTTCATAGAGAAAGAAATCTAGAAAGTTGTATATTTGGCTAATCCCTAAAGCTTCTTAGATTGTTTATTAGGTTTTATTTAATATATCTATGATATATAATATATATTTAAGTGATCACATGAAGGTTTAATTAAGGTTCAAAATCTCGTTTTCAAGACTGTCAACTACCAAAGAGTGCAGCAAATACTATTTTATCCATAAAAACAAAAAATACAAATAAATATGTTTGTCTTATTCTACAAATGAGTCAACACAATTAAAGCGTTTTGAGTAGTCAGCAAGATTTTAATCCGAATGTGGGGAGATAAACAGTTGTAAAGTAGCACTACTTGTCAGTCAATTATCCAATTCTTTTTGATCCTTTCTGTCTATCCTTTCTATTTGGTTTTGTTTTAGTTCTACAGCATTTGGTATGACCACCTTTATTCTTTAACACAGCCTCATCTCACTTGGGCAAGCTTTCTTGTAAATATCTTGTAGTAGTCTTCAGGAATAGTTCTTCAGGTTTCTTCAAGGATGCCCCAAAACTTCTGGTTGCTCCTTTTTTATTCTATCGTTCTTTTCTCAGTCGAGGTGATCCCACATTCAGTAATGTGGAAACCTGGGTTCTGGTCAGGCCAATCCATGACTGACAGTGTTCTACAGTTTTTTTTATCCAGGTGGGCTTTTACTGGCAGGGTCTTGGATCACTGACATGGGCTATAAAACATTTAAAATCCTTAAATTTTCTAAAAAATCAACAGTGCGCCTTATGTGTGAATTCTCGTTGTGCTTATTGACGTTGAACGGATTTTATGTGGTACACGGCGCTCAAAAGTCTGTCAAAAAATGTTTTAGTACAACTTTGGTAAGCTACGAAGCTGCACCGCTTGACGGATTGTTGGAGCATTACGGCTACCGTAGTCAGGAGTCTCGCGGAGTAATCTGG